GTAGTTAAATTTTAAAAGATTTTAAAAATTTAGAGACTCGGTTATGGATACGTAAAATCTTATTAGAATCATTTGTTATTGGTTTATGGAATTTTAACTGTTAGTTAATTTTGTAATTCTACTAAAGTCTCTTGTTACTAGTACATAAATTCCCTTTAGTTTTACTCCTAGTATTGAACTTTACAAATATCATGTATACTCTTGAGATTAGGACTGGGCATTTTATCCGTTATATTTGATTCGATTCGTTATTCGTTTTGATTCGATCCGAAAATTTCGGATATCCGTAAACTTTCGAATCAAAGCAAATACTAAAATTCAGTATCCGTTATAATCGAAGCAAATCACAAATATTAAAATTTTGGGAAGCGGATATCCGATCCGATCCGGAAATATATAAATATATGTATATCTTGATTATATTTAAAATTTTAAATGTATAAACTTATATAATTATTATTCTAGCACATGATTTTGAACAATTCTATTCACATTATTACTTTTATAAAAGTATTACATAAAAGAGAGAAAAAATTTATGACAATTATATATTTTTTTTTTAAATTTTGTGTTATTATAATTGTAACTTAAACTTAAAAAATTACAAAACATGTAAATTCACTAGTTCTTTTAATTTTTATTTTATATATCTTGCAAAAAATATTTTTGTCCAAGTAAATTTGTATCAAAATCTTAAGATCATTTGTATTAATTAAAATAGATGAGATATCCGTAAATATTAGTAAATATCCGCAAATATCTATTTATTTTCCGGATATCCGTTTTTCCGGATATCCGTATTTTTTCGAAGCAAAGCAAATACCAAAATTAGATATTCGTAACATTCGAAGCAAATCACAAATACCTTAAAAAACCCGGATATCCGATCCGTGCCCACCCCTACTTGAGATTTTAAAATCTATGTAACAAAAAACACATGTACACAAACACAAAACTTATGTATTATCTATGTTGTCTTAATATAACAAAATCACTAAATACAACATTAACAAGAATCTTGAGAAAATTAATAGATTGATCTAAGAATATGAACAAAGATCATAGAATATATTAAACAAGAAACAAGCAAGATAACACAAAATGTTAAAATAGTCATTATAAAAATATTTGAATATCAGATAATTATAATTCATGAAAAAGTAAGAAGTTGTTTAGAAAACATGTATATATTATTATCGAAAGAGAAATTTTGGAGAGAAAATATATATGGAAATCTATGTTAATTAATAACACTCAATGATAACTTATACAAAATACTTGGTAAAGAATTCATCAAATCTACTTAGTTTTTAATATCTTAACTTGTAAAGTTTTCAAACTCTACATAAATTCTATTTCCAATAAGCCCCCCTAGATGCTTGAAGAATTGTATAATTGACTATATTAAATGATTGAAGAATTCCATAGTTGACTATATCAAATGATTGAAGAACTGTATAATTGACTATATTTCTTTTGAAATTGACCATATTCAAAAAATATGAAATTATTTTTTTTATAAGGGAAGAGACTATACTTTGAAAATAGAGTATATATTAAACATAATGTAGAAGTTGTTACGAACGTGGTATATTATTAACTAACGGAGTAAAAAATGGATCCATTATGCAGTCTTGTTAAATACCAATGTTTTTCTCAATCTTCTCTAATTACCATGACGTCATTTTTTATGTTTCTTAAATCCCAAAAATAGAGGCCGCGAGCAACCACAAACTGAGCAGTTCGACCAAGTAGAGAGAGGAGGAAGTTGAGAGGCAAATAACATCTTTAGCAATTGAAACTGAAGATGAAATCATTTTCAAGAAGATGTAATAAAATTCGACTGGAAAATGAATTGATGAGAGAATCAGAGATGAAGGATTCTTCCGTTTAGATACAATATATATTAAGCAGAATGCATGAGGTGTTACGAACGTGGTTCTAATTTATTAAAAGAGAAAAAATGGGAGATGTAGAGGTAGAGTAAGAAACTGATTCATGAAAACACAAATAGTCACTTTGTATTTAGATTAGTCTGAAACCATGTTTGGAAGGATGCTAGGCATTAGTTGGGCAGATTATGAATTCCTAGCGAATTAATAATTAATCGGAAATAAATCAGGGAAACGAGATCTTTTTAAATATTTTATTTTATTTATATAATAAGTTAGATATTATAGTCTAGTATTCGTAGAATATATCAAGTATTAATAGTAGTTTGGTGGTAAAGACTTTGTTCAAATAGTAAATAACATGAGTTCGTATTCTTGATCTACACTTTTTTTCTTTGTGGGACCAACAACGATGCTGATGTGGCATGCTTAGGAGTCTTGAAACTCCTATGTTATAATATAAACTAGGTGGACGGTCTGCACGCTTGTGCGGACATTAATATAATCTATACATTACTCGTATAAAAATTAAAATGAGTGTATAGATACTATGTTTCTCTCTTACACAAGTAATCCATTTTTTCTTATATATCTTTTTTATCTTTCTCATTTTGTTTTCCATGTGGTTTTTCTACACACATTTGTTTTGTCTCTTCTGTATCTCACTTAGCGTTCTTTTTGTATGTCTTTATATCTCTCTCGCTCTCTTTCTTTCTTTTTCTCGGTTGATCAAATAATCTTACATCTCTCAAATTTACTTTCACTCTCTCACAATCACTTATATTCACTTTCTTATTCTCATCCTTATTATAGTGCTCAATATTTTACTTTCAAACTCTCTCTGTTCTTTTTGGCTGCAAAGTTTTCATTTTTTACCAGATTTTGTTAAATCTTCAAAACACTTTCACATAGTATTAATAAATGATTTTATAATCTATCTCACTTATATTCAGTCTCTCAGTTATATTCTCTCTCATCTTCATCATGATCATAATCCTCACTCTCATCATCATTATCACTCTCCCTCTTTTTTTCACTCTCTAACATATTTTTCATTTAGCGTTTAACATAAAACTCACAATTGGTTAACCAAACAAATTCATTATTAAAATTTCTCTAATCTTCACACTATCTTATCAATCATTGATTAATTTGCCCAAGATTTCATTAAAAATAATTATTTTTAAAAATATTATTTTCAGTTTTTTAATTACTTCAGTGCGTAACTATTTTAAGTAAATATAATTAACTGTATTTCAAAAAAAATCTGATTAACTAATTATATATCATAAAAATATCTAAATTTTAAAATTATTTGATTTCGTTATTTTAGACATAGATACTTAATATAAATGTGAGGTCAAAAATTTTGATATATCAAAATACTATGTTTCTATTTGTATAAATTTTGTTATAACTATGTTATCATACATTTTAAAAGTTTATTATACTGCAGATAATACTTAACATTATTTTAAAATAATTTTAAATTTAATTTATATTATATTTTGCATCTTCAACATTAATAATTTTAGAAATTATTACATTTATCTTCCTTGCTCATATTTTCTTTATGTTGTATAAACACCTAAAACTAATTAGTTTACAATTATAGTAATACGTAAATAATTATTTCGGTATACAAATATAAAATTATGTCTGTAAAAATATAGAATAATGTAGAATTCAACAAAAAAAATTTATTATTATTCACTCATGTTTTTTATTTATGTCTTTTTTTCTTATTAAAAATAAACATGTCAATTTTGTTATACTCAAAAGCTATAAGAATTATATGAATAGAGTATTAACTCTAGTCTCGTATTAATATAATGTTCTAATTTTTGTAATTTTATATTATAATAATTTTTTATTAATATTTTTAAAATGATTTACCATATAATTTTTTTGTTTAAATAGAAAAATAATTAAATCATTTTTAAAGTGATAACTCAACTATACCATCAACATTATCTCTGGAAAATGATTGGAACTTTTTTAAAATTGTACATTTGACTGTTTTGTATATTGAACATATTTTAAAAATACATATATATAGTGCGTGAGTATAAGAAATATTTTCAGGTTTAGGTTAATTAGTTTTCTGTAATGTATGATTTATTTATCCTCTATTAATAGAATTAATTTTAAAATTTTTAGATACTTATTTCTATAATAGAATATGTATTTTATGTATATTCTATTTTTTTATAATGGAATATGTGATATTTAATTGTTTCTATAAAAAAAATCTACTAATTCATATGTGCTTAAGGTGGTTAATTGTTTGTTTGGTAATATATGTTAGATTATGTAATTTTAGGATTATTAATTTTAAAAAAATTAAAAAAATTCAAATACTAACAACCAATCAAATTAAGAGAATTAATTTTACATTGCACCTGAATGTCACCTAAGAAAAAATTCATTAAAGTGACTTATCAATTATATATAGTAAGATTTTAATGAATTAAATAAAAAGATCTTAACCTTGACTATGGATCAGATTGGTAACTACTTTTGTTTTAGAGTGTTGCTTTAGACTCTGGGCTGTAGAGATTTGGGATGTTAAAACTGTTATTGTTATTTTAAATATTACATAAATAAATTTAATAATCAAAATCATAAAATAGTAAACAATATTTTATTTTATTTCATTATAAATATAAAATTATGCCAATTATAATGAAATAACGTATATGAAACCAAAAGTTATACAATATGGATCTCAATCCATTTTTTAGTCCGAGTATGATATTATTTTATTTATCAGCTCTGATTGTTTATAATTGTTGGTTTATATATTAAATTGACCATCTTATAAGTATGATGCTTACGACTTGGTGGAATCATTCGTATAAAAAGGTTAAGAAATTTCATCTATTAACAAAAATGTGACTTTTGCCATCGTTGTAATGGTCATACATCATTTTTCATTATTCGAGTTGATATTAATCTATAATAAGTTTCACATTAAAATAATCGATGACTTAACCTGGAAAAAAACATACATTTTTTATCATGATGTTTTCTCGCACAACGTGCCATGTTCAAGCGTTCTTTTCATTTTGGAAACTAAACTAGAGAACATCTTCCGTCAACGCAACGATGTCCTTGAGCTACAACGCCAACGAGTCACCGGGAAAATACAGAACCAATCCTCCTCCGCCACCGTCGCTTTCTTCACTGCCTGACGAAATGGTTTTGAGATGCTTAGCCCTTGTCCCAAGAATCTATCACCTAAGCCTCTCTTGGGTCTCAAAAGACCTAAGAGCCCTTGTCCGCTCACCTGAGCTCACCAAGTTGCGACCCAAGAAGAGCTCTCTCTATGTATGTTTTCGAGAATACTACAACGATCCGAACTTTCACTGGTTTACTCTCCGTCCCATTGAGGAAACAGAAACGACGACCGAGTATGGGTTAGTTCCCAACCCAACTCCCTTCTCGCCTCATAACTACGGTTCTTCAACGGTCGTAGTGGGATCAAATATCTACTTCATTGGCGGATGTAGAGAAGCTTCCACGGATCTATGGATCCTTGATACCCAATCTGGTAGCATCACTCAAGGACCAAGCATGACCGTGCGTCGAGTAAAAGGCGAAACAGCTGTGGGAGTGGTCGACGGGAAGATATACGTAATCGGAGGCGGAGTCTCAGACTACGGAATGGAAGTAGAAGTTTATGATCTGAAATCCGAAACGTGGGAATCTGCTGGGATGGAGAAGGTGCGTAAAATCTCACGGTGCTGCGCCTCGGTGGAGCGGAAAATCTTTATGGTGGAGTTCGAGGAGATTAATGTGTACAACCCGAGGGAATGTGGAAGAGAACGGTTGGCTCTTATGGTAAGCCAGAGACTTGAACGTGGAAGAAAGGATAAGTTAAGTGAGATAGAGCGTTGCGTGTGTGTGGTGGAAGATGTTCTCTATGCTTGCTTTGGCTGGAGTGGGATCATGTGGTTTAATACAAAGCTCAATGTGTGGAGAAGTTTGGTGGGCCGTGATGGGAAGCAGCTGTTTTACCTTTATGCGGATTCCATGGCGGAATACGAGGGAAGGCTTGTGGTTTTCTATTCCAATGGTATCCCAAATGGAAATGATGTCGCAGTTGCCAGGAATGTTCTGTGTGAGTTTGTCTCATTGCATAGAGCTGGAGAAACGATTTGTGGGACGATTGACTGGTCTGGTATTGTGGCTACAGTGCCATATTCGTTTCGTTTTCTGCATTGTTTATCTGTTTCCGAGTGATTGATCATAGTATCTTTGTTCTTGAAAGCAAGTTGTTTGGTAATTAGAAAGGATCTATCATTGAACCAAATTATGAAATGAACTTGTTTCAACTTTGTTGGAAAGAGGCATATGCTTTGTTTCAAAAATGTTGCTTGCTTGTAAGAACCATAGGATCTTCTATCACATTTAAGCTGATTCCTTTTGTGTGCTTCTGTTATCTTTGGCTTCATTATATGCACACATTTTCAACGAAAACAAAAACCATAATCTCCCATCTTTTTTTCGTGTTTGAGAATATATAACCGTTTTAAGCTTCAGTTTTCAAATGTTGTGAGATGAAAGATATAGGCAGTTATATTTTGAAATTCTTTAATGTGTTTAAATCTCATTTTTTAATCTTCAAATTTACACACACGCAATCCAAACGTTCAACTTTTTCACTAACACCTCTAGCTTTTAAACTCAATTTTATCATATCAAACCTCAAATGCGTTTTCCACCAAGAAAAATTGATGGAACACTAGCTATATTCGATATCGTAACATTTAAATTTTGAACAGTAACTTCAAAATTTTTTATTGATTATATAGTTAAGAAAATATACATTTTTACAAAATTAATAAATTTAAAAATTTAGGGAAAACAAAATAGAAATTTTGAAAAATAAAAAGAGTTTGAATATATTAAATTATGTAAAAATTAAAATTATAAAAATTGTACAAAGTGAAATATTAAAATTTTAAATATAAATTTTCTTTTCCTAAACCTTTTAATGTTAAAATGAGTTTTCCAAAGGCTTAAAATGAGTTTTTTTCTCAAATTATAATTAAAAAAAGTTATTTTAAATACAACATTGGGAGATGTAAAATATATTTAGTAAAATTCAAAGTAGTGAAGATATTTTCATTTTAATATATATATATATATATATATATATTTAGTTTTCCTAAATTGTTGCAATTTCTTAATTTTTTTTTAAAAAATATCGATTTTTTAACTATATCATAAATAATTAAATAATAACTAAAACTGATTTTCTTAATATTGGTTTTGAAAAATGTCTCACTGCTGCATAAATTTTGTTTTCCAGAAAACACATTTGAAGTCTGATATTTGATCGTTAAGTGTTAGTAAAAAAAATTTTAAGTAAAATATTAAACTGCATGTATATTTCATTTTCAAGGTTAAAATAAGATTTTCTCTTAAAAGAAGTAAGCAGAGACTTAATTTCTACTCTGCTTCAATTAATTTTTCAGTTTGACTACAATATTATTTTATTTATTTATTTATAAGTTCTGATTGTTTATAATTGTTTGCTTTATAGACTGAATTGATCAACTTATAAATATGGTCCTTATTAGGGTTGGGCATTTTAGGTGTTAAATTTGATCTTTCGTTGTTCGTTTTGACTTGATTCAAAAAATTTGGATACCCATGAAACTTCAAATCAGAGAAAATAGCAAAATATAATATCCAAAAAATGAAGCAAATCAAAAATGTTATTTTTTTAAAAGCCGGATATCCGGTCCAGTTCGTATATTTATAGATATGTAATGTAATTGTATATACAAATCATTATATCTACATATTTTAGAATATAATTTGGTTAATTTTTCTATTTTAAGTTGTTTTCAATTTTTTTTTTGTTTTGGGCTATTACATATCCAATTTAATTGTTATGCTGAGTCAAATGCTAACATATCATTTTCTTATTATGCTTGTTAGTATATTTTATTTTATTATGAAAGTTTGTTTATTTAATATTAATTTCATATATTGTTTTTATTTTTATAATAAAAAAATTATGAATATTTAAAAACACTTTGAGTATTCAGAATTTGTAGGATCAAAATAAACCACAAATATAAATGTTTGGACATAACGGATCAGAAATATTAAGAATTTCTGATATCTGCTTTGTGTCCTTGCATAATGCTTACACGTGAATTGCTATGAAGGGATCATTGGTATAAAAAGGCCACACAAATATCACTCCTTAACAACACCAAGATACTCTTTCATCTTGTGAATTGCTATGAAGGGAAGACTTGCAACGGGGCATCGTATGAGACACTGGAATGGCGCTGCACTGCAAACATTTCTTGTGTCTAATGCAATGAGCCATTGGAAACTATGGAACATCTCTTCTTTGAGTGTGTTTACTCTGGCCAAATTTGGGACGCTTTGATGAGAGGAGTTCTGAAGAACAATTACACAGTAAATTGGACAAGGCTGTTGAGACTAATGAGGGATCCTACGGTTAGGAAGATGAAATTGTCATCATTAAATACGTTCTTCAGATAGCAGTTCATACCATATGGAAAGAGAGGAATAGAAGGAGGTATGGAGAAGGACTATCTTTTGATCAAGATGGTTGACAAGAATATAAGGAGCAAACTCACTCTTATTCAAAGGAAAAGAGACAAAGAGTTTAGAGAAGGGATGGCATATTGGTTTGAAGCAAGATAAAAGAAAATCTTTGAGTTTATAAAATCTAAAAGATAGGAGAAAATAGATTTCATTTTGTTTGGATTTTTTTTTTTAAAGACACATTTGATGTAAAAATATCTTTTTTAATTAAATATAACATTCAATTATAAAAAAAAATTCCAACTCAATAGTAAGATTCACATCAAAATAATTGATGACTACACACCAATATTATTCATCTTGCTGTTTTCTCGCACAATGCCATTTTCTAGGATTTTTTTTAGACTAAAATGCTACACCATGCCATTTGGGAAACTAGAGAACATTTTCGGTCAAAACACAGAAGATGTTCAACTCCAAAGTCGACGAGCCATTGAGAAAATACAGAACCAATCCTCCTCCTCCGCCGTCGCTTTCTTCACTGCCTGACGAAATCATTCTAAGATGTTTAGCCCTTGTCCCAAGAAGCTATCACCTAAGCCTCTCTTGGGTATCCAAAAACATAAGATCGTTTGTCCGCTTGTCTGAGTTCAAAGGACTACGATCCGTCCCTCACAAGTGCACCCTCTATGTATATTTCCAAGAAGACGACATAACCTCCCATTGGTTCACTCTCCGTCCAACCGAGGAAACAGCAACAATGAAGTATCGTTTAATTCCAAATTCAACACCCTTCTCGCTTCATAACTACGGTTCTTCAACCGTCGTAGCGGGATCAAGTATCTACTTCATCGGAGGATCTAGAGAACCTTCCACGTATCTATGGATCCTCGATACAAAATCTGGTAACATCACTTTGATAGAATAAGGAATATTCTGTTACAATTCTGTTTATATTTGTCGTATATATCTCTTACGTTTGTTAAGGATCCCTGATCTTGTGTAACCACTTGGGCTATATAATGCCTTGTATTTACATTGAGATATTTAGATGAAATATATCATTCTTTATGGTATCAGAGCGGGCCCACGCCCTGACCCTTTAATTAGGTCCGGACAGTGGCCTGATAATCATATTAGTTGATGGCCCATAGAAGGCTCAGTTCCGTCGAGATAGCTAAAAAAAAGCATTTATCTCGGAGGAGGTATGATGAATTTCGAGTCTAATGGTTAGACCCACCATTATCTCGAGGGAGGCCGGTGTTGAGATAAAAGATCTCACATTGGAAATATGAAAGGGACATGAGTAATATATAAGTGATTTGGGCCAATCCACTAATTGTCAATTGATTTTAACTTTGGTTTTCGACCAACCTACCCAATGTGGATGCCTCCGAATGCTTGGAATGGACAGTATCTTGCTTGGCCACAACAATTTGCAAACTGGACTCCTTTTGCTCAACCTCCAACTTACTGTGGACCCGTTGCACCTGCAAATCAACAACAACAAGCTTATCTCACTGACATCCAGCCAACAGCTCTGCCGCAAGCTTACACCACATAAATGTTGATGGATCCATCTTGGTATATGGATTCTGGTGCCACTGCACATCTTTCAGCTGATCCAGGTATACTCCAAGCTTCTCTTAAACATAACATCAAGCACTCAGTTTTTGTAGGGGATGGTTTCAAACTTCTGGTTACTTCTGTTGGTTCTTCCTCTATCTCAACACACACTCGTTCTCTTTCTTTAAATGATGTGTTAGTCACACCTAAATTATCAAAATATCTAATATTTGTTCGCAAATTATCAAAATATCCTTTTGGCTTTTCTGTGAAGGACCTTCTCACTCGAAAGATTCTTCTCCGATGTGAAAGTATCAGAGATCTCTATCCTCTTCCAGCATCCACTAATAAAGCTTCTCATTCTACAGCTTTCCTTGCTTCGTCGCCTAATCTGTGGCACAAGCGTCTCGGCCACATCAATAATGCCTCTCTCAAGTTTATTCTCACTGCAAATTCGGGTATTAGTAATAAAGAAAAAATTGATTCTCATTGTCGTTCTTGTGTATTGGGGAAACACATAAAACAACCTTTCTTTTCTTCTGATGATTCAATAAATCTCTTTTTGATATTGTTCATTCAGATATTTGGTATTCTCATGTTTCAAGTATTTCAGGGATTCAATATTCTGCTCTTTTTCTAGATCACTACACTCAATCGTTATGGGTTTATCCTCTTCGTCGTAAATGTGATCTGTTTTCGAAATTTCTTCACTTCATCTCCTATGTCAAAAATATTTTCAAAACTCAGATCAAATCCTTCCAATGTGATAATGGAGGTGAATGTAGAAACATGGATTTCGATAATTTTTTTTTGCAGAGAATGGCATTGTGGCTCGATACTCTTGTCCTCATACTTCTCAACAAAACAGCAATGCGGAAAGAATGATTCGCACAATAATCGATACGCCGTTCGCTCTCTTCTCATTCAAGCTCAGCTTTCGCCCCAATATTGGGTTGAAGCACTTCATGTTGCAGCTCATACCCTCAATATTATTCCGTCGCTGCAATTCAACATCAACCACTCTCATCTTTCAAACGAAACCAACTTATGACCACTAAAGGGGATTCAGATGTTTATGCTTTCCTAACATCAACCACTCTCATCTTTCCAAACTTTCACCGCGTTCTACGACCTTTTTGTTC